TACAGCTGAGTGTGTACTGTAATACAAGTTAACTCAAATAATGCCTGCAGCTGTTGAAACATTAGAAATAATATCCCAAAAAATTAAGCTAAGATCAGTGCCAGATTTCAAAGCTTTTAAAGGAGAGGCACATATATCAAACCAGTATTTATAATTACATCTTGCACATTTTAAAGTATTTTTTTTTGCGTTCTATATTTGTACCTTGAAATCAGGACTGCAGAAAGCCTACACATCTTCCGGCGCAGACTGAAAACTAATCTCTTTCGACTCCACTTCGAGCGATAGAATGACTAACAAAGACTGCTAACAAAGCACTTATATACTAATAAAGGACTAGCTTATCTAAAGCTAGTTGAGTAGCACTTGAAATGTTTTGGCTCTATGAAACCTGATGTACTTATATGATTCTGTTTTCTTCAAGTTTAAATCGCTTTGGATAAAAGCGTCAGCTAAATGCAATGTAATGTACCTAGTACCATTTTAAATGCAGTACTCCTACTTGTAATTGAGTATTTCTACAGTTAACATGAATACTTTCACTTATTTGCTTTCTCGCCCACTTCCCATGCCTCACACAGACAGCCTCATGCCGGACACGTCACTGTTGGTAATTTTCATTTTATTATAAAAAACAGTATTTGAGTCCACAGTTCGTGTTTCCTTTGTACAGTAAAAAATATTAAATTAAACTCCCAAAGTTCTTAGCAGATAGATAAAGAGGATGGAGTTTGAGGGGAGGGGGAGCAACTTCCCCTCCAGAGGAGGAACAGGAGGAGGAGGAAGGATTTAAAGTCTGAGGGGAGCAGCAAAGGGGACGAGGCAGAAGGAGACGGAGAGCGATTTCTCCTTTTCTCCTCATTTCTGTGCAACACAGTTCATTTGGATCAAAATCCTCTGTTCCGAGAATCCTTAAAAACTAAATTAAAAACACTAAAAAAGGACCCCACCTCACCCCACCCGTTATTTTCACATCCCAGCCCATGTACGCAAAATGTTTCAGGCACACAGGTATGCACCCCCCCTCCCCAAGCCTCCACTGTATTAAGTGTCTTTAAAAAGGAAGGAGTGCACACACATTCGAGGGAGGGGGTTTGCATGTTTGCGAGGGAAAGTCCATCGCGATGTCCGGCGTCACAACATGTCCGTCTCAAAGCCGCTGCGATAAAACACTGACATTTTATTATTCCCACCTAAATGAAATATTCACTACCCCCCTCCCCCCCGTCATAACAGTCATAACAAAAATATATTTCTATACGAATTGTAGCAGTCTCAGGGTACCTAACACCTCCGCAACACCCCCTCCCCCCCCTGAAGAAAACAATAAATAAACCCAAATATATATATAAAAAAATGAAGATATGCATCATGTTTGGATTTACATTAATAATAATCCTCATCACTCTGCAGAGCCGAAAGACGGACTGGAGGAGTGACGGGAAATCAAACCGATAGAAAAGTTCTTTGCATTAAATCATTTACTCTTTAATCTTGACCACTTTTAAAATCTTAAAAACATTTATTAAAAAAGGCCTATTAACCCCCCTCCCTC